CACTATTCTATGGATGTTATCACATGTAACAAAATACACACTGAGAATGATTATGACAACGCAACACATAACACCCCTAGAATAATGGACTGGACTGGGGACTTCGGGTTTCCCTTTGTTTGGGGTTGTCTAAAATAATAGTACCCCGACTACAGTGACACTGTCCAAAAACTACAAGAACAGGGTGTGTGTGTGTTTTTAACCACCAACCGCGGAGAACAAACCACATTGAAGCGGCTGTACGAACGGTTAGAACGCTGGGCTCGAATGCGGGAGACCCGGGTTCAAATCGTAAGGCAGAGTGTTTTTTTTTCTGTCAGGGGCAAAATAAAATTCTCCCTTGCACCCCTTCCTTGTGACCACGGTTTGAAAACCAGGAGAATTATCTTTTTCTAAACCTGTGGTAAACGTCAGGGACAGCACTGTGATGCCATTTCAGTCAGAGAAAAAACTAGACGGACAGCAACAACAATTAAACTACTGCGGGCACCACCGGAATTGAAAGTCTTCAATGACTGCTCAGGATGAGGACTGGGCACCTATGGGAATGTCCTGAATGTTGTAATGTCAGTTCTTAGCTGAACACTTAATCTCTTTGCTAAACTCTAAGCCACACCCACCTTGGAATAGAAATTATTAAAAAAAATAAAAATAAACTGCCAAGGGATAAAAGAGTTAATCAGTTTATCCCTGGGTGGGTTCGGGGGCCTCACTGTGAGGGACAACAAGAATAGACTGACTGACTCCCCAACAAGCATGTCGTAAGAGACAACTAACTGAGGGTTTCCTTCAAAGTCGAAGTGTATCTGCCTGAGAGGCTAGGAACCAACAGTCCGCATACAAATAAGTAAGATCTGTCAAATGGATGTGCACACAACACTCAGGTTCTGGAACAAGTGTAAAGTCCAGAGGTGGATAAACAACCAGAAGTTTTTACCAGTTTACAGCTGGTGAATGCCAAGAAGAAGAAGTTAACTAGTGTTCACACAGTCAGTGCATATACCTTCCCATATCCTTCACACAAATTCATGGGGAAAGGGGTTTGGGGGAGGGTGAGGGGGTATAAATAATGCAGAAATAGCAATAAACTGCCACAACAAGCTGAATGATCAATAGCTAAAACGCACATCCCAACAAATAGACAATCAGAATGTATACGGTAAAAGTAATAAATATCTAACAGTCATTAACTTCTAAATAAGGCAGCGAGCCATCATGCCCAGTGTTGTAGAGATATGATGTATGGACATGTTATTTTATAGGCAAAGTCGGTAAGGCTCAGTCTAGATGCAAGATCTCACGACTGCAGTCTGCACTTCAACAGTTTCATGCCTCAAGAATTCCTTCCTTCTAAAGCTGATAAAAAAACTGATACGATTGCCGTGTGAACTATAACTGGAAATACCCTACTTGACTATGAATTTAATTTCTAATGTGAGGACATAATCATGTTCATATTTACTACTACTAAATAATTGCATTCCAAGTTGACCTTGACGGTTGTTTAATTAGCTTGCTGCAATTATTTACCCACCATTTTTTTATTTTATGCGCCACCCAAGCTGTCTTTGGGGAACCTAAATATAACCTACGGGTTGAACAGAGTTTCTAGGACTTGTGCCTGAATGATTCTGATCCTAATGGTGTCACTTTGTGTCACCGGGAGTTTATCGCTCACCGTGCGATTCTAGTAGGGTTGAACGTTAGTCAGTGAGATAGCTGATTTGTCCGTTGATAATGATCCTTGTCGAAACTTTCAGTTGCAGTTATGCACATTTTCCTATTTTCTGTTGAGCTTTTTAGTCATAGTTTGTTTGTGCTTTGTTAATTCTATGAAAATAAGTTTGGATTAAATCGCATGATGTGAGAAAATGTAAAGAAAAAGGGGGTAAAGACCCTTCCTCATCATTGGCACATTTTCTTAACATCCAGTGACCACAGTAAAGTAAAGATCCCTTTCCACGCCTTCAGATGCTAAAGATCCCCTTTCATGCCTTTAGGTGCTAAAGATCCCCTTTCATGCCTTTAGGTGCTAAAGATCCCCTTTCATGCCTTTAGGTGCTAAAGATCCCCTTTCATGCCTTTAGGTGCTAAAGATCCCTTTTCACGCCTTTAGGTGCTAAAGATCCCCTTTCATGCCTTTAGGTGCTAAAGATCCCCCTTCATGCCTTTAGGTGCTAAAGATCCCCCTTCATGCCTTTAGGTGCTAAAGATCACCTTTCATGCCTTTAGGTGCATCAGGCATATGGGAAGACCACCCATATCATAACAGACCTTTACCTTTACAGACCAAATAGAACTCGGTGGGTAATGTGGTCAGCATTACGCCGGCCGTCTTTACTTTCCCAGGACATACACCCTGGTACCCATTTAGAGCTGGGTCGACCTGTGACCCCCCATACCATGATGAAAATTCACGCATTCAGCAGTTGTTTTGATCGCTGGAACAGAACTAGAGTCGAGAAGTGGATGAACAGTCAGTACTTTCTGCAGAGTTTACAACCAGAGAACGTGAGGAAGAAGAAGAAAATAAAAGTAATCACCTCACCCAAACACAGACAAAATTATCAAAGCCTGTGTAATTCTATTGGACATTTCTAAATCCTCACCAGAAACACAGAGTTTGAGCAATGAGCTGAGATTATCCTTGTGTGATGCAAATAGTGAGACTGCAACACTTAGCCAGACATTTGTGTACAAAGAATTGATCCTTTACAAACAATATCAAACCAAATACACATGAGTCTACTTCAATGTAGCAAGATGATGTTTTTGTTATGCAAGGAATGTGAGATCAATGCACTGAATTGATTGGGATGGCTTAGCTCAATTTGTTACACATTTTCAAATTCACTGGAAAGAAGAAGAAAGATTAAGAAGAAAAACATAAGATGATAAACAATTTCAAACACAGAAAATACAAAATAGATGCACATCTAAAGCTAAACCACCTTGCCAATAAAAGTGAAAAAAAAAAAAACATTAAATAACAGCAAAATCATCACAGCAGTCCAATAGTTGGCTGCAGAATAATGACATTAACATAAAAGACTGATAAGACATGAAATAAATATGTCTTGAAAGAAATTAACTAACAAAGATAACCGGTTACCCATATCGAAAGTAGGCAATCAAAATTAAATTCTTCAGGCACATCATGAGAAGGATAAAACTAGAGTAAGTTATGATAATAGAAAGCTAAAGGAGAAGACAATGAACGAACAAACGAACAAACTTTATTTTCAAAGGGTCACATAAGAAAAAGCAACATATGTGGATCAAGGAAAAAAAGCATGGAAGGTAAATGCATGCGCACCCGCACATTCACACACTGAATCAAGCATCCACTCAGTCACTCATACCTCACATACCCACTCACACACACACACAGAGGCAGAGTAAGACCAAAAGAAGGAAGCTGGACATCATGGCATGTGGTATCTTGTACAAGAGAAAAATTTTGAATTAAGAATCAACATTATAGCACTCAGGACACCCCATAAGCTCTCCGTCCCCATCATCAGCCGCAAGCGAAGAGTTCCAATTCCAATGTCAGCAGTAATTGTCTGACTGTACATTCGTCTCGAACTTCCCTTGAGTGTCGAGCGTCAGCCAGACCCTTGATAACTCCCTGCAGCACCATTCTCCTCAAACCATAATCATAATTTTATGACAACAGAATGCTAAGGGAGAAAAGGGAGAGGAAAAGGAAAACCAAAAGAAGGAAGCTGGAGACTTTGATATCATGGCACGGAGTATGTTGTGACAACAGAAAGCTAGGAGAGAAGAAAAGGACAGGAAGACCAACAGATGGAAGGTAGATATTATGGTAAACCACAGCATGGAGTATGTTGTGACAACAGAAAGCTAGAGGAGAAGAGAGGGAGGGGGAGACCAAGAGAAGGAAGGTGGATATTATGGCACATCATGGCATGGAGTACGTAGTGATAACAGAAAGCTAGAGGAAAAGAGAGGGAGATGTAGAGGAGACCAAGAGAAGAAAACTGGATATTATGGCACATTCCCGTGTGGACTCCTGGGCCCTATTGTGGGGGGTGGGGAACAAGAATACACCCACTGCCTCCACAACAAGCATGTCACAGAAGTCAACTAACTGGGAGCTTCCTTTGAAGTCGGAAAGCATCTACTTGAGCTGCAAGTAACAACCAAATGCCCACAAATAAGCCAGTAAAACGGATGCGCATGCTAAACTCAGGCCCCGGCACAAATGGACGAATAACCACAACTTCTCGCCTGAGCTTACAGCTGGTGAACAAAAGAAGAAGAAATACAGCACATCATGGCAGGGAGTATGTTGGGACAACAGAAAGCCAGAGGAGAAGAGAGGGAAAAGCAGATGAAGACCTAGAGAAGGAAAGTAGACATTCTGGCATAATGGTATGGAGGAATATGTTTGAGAAATGCCTGTGAGTACATGGGACAGAAGTCAGTGGCCAGATGTGATGACCTGCCCCACATGGCATGAACTAGGAGAAGGCAAAAGATCTATTTACCTCTACCAATTTAGATGCTGTGATTGCTTAAGGTCACGCTATTTGCTTAACTCTTTTAGTGCCAGGGGGTTTAGCATCAGAGGCCCAAGGGGTGGTAAAAAGAAAAGTAATAATTGGCATCTTGTATCTACTGGGCTTCTAGGTAGGAACATATGAACCTATGATGCGTTCCTTGGAACTGAAAGAGTTAAACTGGCAACTATATCATTCTGTTAATTCAGGTAATGCAGGTGGGATCAAGTGAGAGTAACTGCAAACACCTAACCACCTTATGGGAAAGCAGGTTTGGAATGTTGATGTAGACACATTACAACAATTACATACAGGGATGGAAGAACTAATGGGAAGGTGGCAAAATAGAATCCTTAGGTATGTTAACAGTAAAAGATAAAACACTTGAATGAATTACAAAACATCAATTTATCACGCTACATAGTTCATTTGGACAACAACAGACATCAGGGTACTCATTAATTGAATACTTACCCAGCAGGATATGCTATGGTCCCAGTGTTCGGATCACAGGACAGACCAGCATTTGAAGATACTGTTACTCCAAGAACTCGCTGAAGTTGCACCTGTGATTTTTAAAGGTTTAACAAAAAATTATGTTTAAATAAACAAAAGTTTAAATTTTTTAAAGTAAACAGTAAAACACCTTTTTTTCCATGTCTTCAGGTGTATTGGGCATATAGGGCTAGAACAATATTTTATAGACCAATCGGCACTTAGTGTGTGATGTAGTCAGCATCCCACCTACTACTAGGACTTCACCTGGTACCCATTTAAGGCTGGGTCAACCTGGGAGCCAAGGCCATTTTCAAAGGAAAAAAACAGCCCAAACATATGATCTTACAATCCATGGACGAGCATCTAGCCGTTATATAATGGCGGCTGCCATTAATTATGTAGGTGATACTAAAACCAAAAAAAACATACGTATACAGCCTTAGGTACATCTGTAAACTAAAGACAGGTCATGGAAAAGAGCAAAAAACAGACATCTGCCTCTAACTCTAGTAGATCTGGTAAAAATGAATCAAATTTGCCTAAACTAAAGAACTTAATAATGGTATAATTCTCCATGATATTGAAATTGTGAAAAAGATAGATAGTCCTTCAAGATAAGGACAATCAATTAGGAGGGCCTATCTGCATGCTGTGCTTATTACGCCCTTGAAAAAAACAATTATAGAACAAACAAAAAAGTGCTAAACAATTAAATTTGAAAAACTTAACACACCCCACTTACCCAATAATTAACACATACACGCACACACAAGCACACACAGACAACATGCATGGTTCTGCTACAAACATGAATAATTACTGGGACAACGAATTACAAACATTGTGTGATTACCTTCCTGAATGATCTGGTGATCACTGTTATTTAATAAAACACTCAAACCAAATTTTTACTCTTTCTGCTCGATAGTGTTACTGCAAGCCACCGTGCCTTTGTGGCTCCCAGACCAACTTTTTTCAAACTGAAGCATTTAGTTTACAACTTTCCTTACAATCTATTTCAATCCCCGTTTGGATAATAATTCTTTCTGCTCCACATAATGCATGAGTGTGATTCACCCTTCTCTGTGAAACCCATTCGATACCTATTTGTGTTTTATTTTCTTACATTTAGGTTAAGCATACTAAAGAAATCTGGCTTCCTTAGTTGACATTTCTAATTCTATCTAGATGGGCGGATTGGGATGGGTCTGAGGGGAACAGACCCACTGCTCCCTAACAAGCCTATCATAAAAGTCACAGTACATATATCACAGCCTTGCTGTAAACCACAATACATTGTGCCAACCACCATGTTAAAGACAAATGGAGATGGAGAAGAGTCTTTCTACAAATCAAAACATGACAAGCCTCTATTAGTTTGTTTTTGTGGAATTTGTTAAAGAACAAATGCAGATTTATTTGCTACATTTAGTTTCAATGTCTCTGTATACAGTACAACCAATATGTCTCATACTAGTCTGTTCTCTAGGGTGAATTAAAAACTAGGTACTGACAATGAGTAAGTAAGAAGGGCACCAGTCATAATTTAGCTCAGGGTATCAGCAATACTGTTCTTATTCTTAGATAAAGCAAGCATGTTTTACTCATTCTTCTGTTTCATAGCTTGCATAGTATTTCTGATTCAGTTTATATATCATTTATTATCATATTTTCTTCTTCTTCTGCCTTTCTATCCCCCAATGGAGCATAGGCCCTCAACCAAATCACTCCAAGTCGTTCTATCCTTCGCCATTGCATGGAGCTCTCCCCATGTCCTCCCAATCTTTCTAACCTCGTTCTCCAGCTCTCTTCTCCATGTGTTTTTTGGCCTTCCTTTATTCCTATGCCCCTGTGGGTTCCAATGCAAAGACATTCTAGTAATGCTGTTCTCCTGTTTTCTCAGTGTGTGCCCTATTTAACGCCAGCGTCAGTTAATGAATGTCTGTAATTTATTAGTAATGCCTTGGTTGTTCTCCATGTTTCCGCCCCATACAATAGTACTGATTTGACATTAGAATTAAAAATTTTTAGTTTAGTATTTCTTTTAATTTCTTTTGACCTCCGCAAATTCCCTAGTGCTATGAAAGCCCCTCTTGCCTTTTGTATTCTTATTTTAATATCTCTATCAGTTCCTCCATCTTTATCTACATTACTGCCTAAATAGGTGTACGACTCCACGTCTTGGAGTGGGGTGCCACTAAGAGAAACCACATTACTATTTGCCTGATTTATTCTCATTATCTTTGTCTTTCCTTTATGGATTTTCAGACCAAGCTGCTGTGATCTCGCATTAAGTATATTTAATTTATCTTGCATCTGATTCCGTGAATGGGACAGAAGAGCAATATCATCAGCGAAGTCCAGACCATCAAGCTGTTTTGTAGGGGTCCACTGAATTCCATTCTTGGTGTTAGCAGTTACTGTTTTCATAGTCCAGTCTATAGCCAGTAAAAATAAGAGAGGCGACAAAAGACATTCCTGTCGCACACCTGTTTTTATTTCAAATGCATCTGTTAGCTTTCCCTCATGAAGAACTCGACAATTCATGTCTTTATATGTTGCCTTTACTAAGTTGATAATTTTCTGTGGGATTCCATAGTGCCCCATTAATTTCCAGAGAGATTCCCTATCTATGCTGTCAAATGCTTTTTCATAGTCTTTAATTCAATGTAAAGTGGTGAGTTCAGTTCAATGCTTTGCTCTATTATAATATGTAATGTGGCTATCTGATCAGTACAGGATCTGTTTGACCGAAAACCTGCCTGCTCATCTCTTAGCATTTTATCAATAGCGTCTTTTAATCTTTCCAAAATAATTCTACTTAATATTTTTCCAGGAACTGACAGCAACATAATTCCTCTATAGTTTTCACACTCCTGTAGATCACCTTTTTTGGGCAGTTTCACAAGATATCCTTCTCTCCAGTCTGCTGGTATTTCTTCGGTCTCCCAGACTTTACTGAATAATCTATGTAGCAATTCTGTTGATGTGTTTATGTTGGTCCTGATGGCTTCAGCTGGGATACCGTCTTGGCCTGTCGCCTTTCCTTCCTTGAGAAGATTTATAGCTTTTCTAATTTCCTCTTTGGATGGTATCTCACAGTTGATATCCAGTTCCATTTCTAAAGGCTGGATATCTGGGGGAACCTCTGGGCCTGGTCTATTTAGAAGCATTTCAAAATATTAAACCCATCTGTCCATTTGATCTTTAGTGTTAGTAAGTACCTTTCCTTGACTATTTTTGATTGATCCAGTTGGCTGACTATATTTACCTACTAATTTTCTTGTGTTATTGTAAAGTTCTCTGAGGTTTCCTTTTGCTGCTGCTGTCCCTGCTTCTTGTGCTAGATCATTTAGATATTTCACTTTATCTGCCCTTATATGCCTCCTAACTTCCTTGTTGGCTTCTGTGTATTTCTCCTGAGCTCTAGCTTTAGCAGCTCTAGTTTTGCTATTGTTTAATTCTGCCTTTTTACTTTTCCTATCTTCAATCAGTTTAATGGTTTCTGGTGTTATCCATGCTTTATGTTTCCTTTCTTTCTTGCCAAGAACTTCTATGCAAGATTCATTCCAGATTCCTTTGATCTGATCCCAGCAGACTTCTGTGTTGACATCTTCAGCTAACTGCTGCAACACCTGGTACTTATTAGAGACCGTAACTGAGAACTGTTCCTTAATTTCTTTATCTCTGTGAAAGCCTACATTATATTGGTTTCTATGACTATAAGATGTTATTTATCTTTTTAGTTTCAACTTGATTTTACTTACCACCAGGAAATGGTCAGTAAATACATCGGCACCTCTGAAAGCCCTAACATCGTAAAGGGATGATCTAAACTTTTTGTTAATACATATGTGGTCAATTTGATTAGTTGTCTTATGGTCTGGTGATTCCCATGTTGCCTTGTGTATACTTTTATGGGAAAAAATACTTCCACCAATAACATACTGGTTACCTGCACAAAAATTTGTGAACAATTCTCCATTTTCATTCATTACTCCTAGACCATGTCTCCCCATAATTTCTTTATAACCTGTGTTGTCTGATCCTATCTTAGCATTCAAGTCACCCATCAAAATTTTTAAGTTGCCCTTTCTTTCATTATTTATAATATTTTGAAGCTGCATGTAAAAATTCTTCCTTAACCGATGCATCTTTATCATTTGTTGGTGCATAACACTGTATTACCGACATGTTCACCTTCTGTTTAACTGTTATAAAAGATGCTCTTATTATTCTGGGACTCACAGCTTCCCATTCTATTAGTGCCCTGTCTGCTTCTTTTGATAGCATCAGGGCCACTCCTTCACTGTGCGGCGAATTTTCCTCTGTGTGTCCTGAGAACAAAATAGTTTCTCCTGAATTTAGATTCTGAATACTTTTCCCTGCCCCAGTCCATCATCTAGTTTCACATAACACTAAAATACTAATTCTATAATGTTTCATTTCCTTTGCTACTTCTTTTGCTACTTCCGTCATATTTTAGACTATAATATTTGTACATTTTTACTCCAGCACTCCTTACAGATTTTCCCGGTGTTGTTCTAGGATTTAAAGTTAAAGCATTAAAAATCAAGCAGAAACTGTTGGTACTCAGGCATAAATATTGTCATTTATGTACAACTGTAACGATAAGACAGCTAAAGTAACAAAACTAGCCAACAGTATAACAATAATACATAAATGTTATTAGTGAGTCTTGAACAATAAACACAATTACAAATGACACTTTCACTATAGTTCACTACACTACTGACTGTCATTGAGTACTGGGTGAGTAGTCAGTAGACAGTCAGATCTACAGGCAAAATACTAGTCTAGTCTCATGAATAATTCCACCGTCAGAATTCAAAAGAGGTTTTATAACAATACAACTTACTCTCTGATTTACAGGGGAGGTTTTGCTTCTTCTCTTTACTGATGGCGAACGCAATATTTTACGATATGGTTTTGGGTTATCCATGTTCACAGCGACTCCGCGCTCCAGAAGCTTTCTCTTATCCCATTTTTAAAGTCACCTGGCCTCTAGAGCTCTTGCGCGCCGGCGACAAACTTTGGTCGAGCATGTAACCGCCCACTGTACTTTGGTTTCACATTTCACACATCTTATTTAACGAAATATGGTGTGTAAAGCTCGTTTCTATTGGTTAACGTAACATCCAGTTTGATTTGAAGTGGTTTAAGGGGTAAAAGCATGTGATAGTAGAAGTATGATGCCATCTCTTCTCTGCACTGCATGTTACTCCATACCACAGGCATGCCGCAATATATAACTGGGCTGAAAGGCGTTAGTGGTATTTCTCCCTGTTTGATTCGCATCCGTGAGGTGTTAACCCTACGGACAGCAATCAGGAGGGAAACAGCGACCACCACCACACATCATCAGCATCCGTCAACATGTCCTTAACAGAACTTCACTCTCTTCGCGGCATAAAGTATCTCTTTCTTTAGCCAACTTCTCCACTGTGTGCTTTCATAACATACTCATCTTCATTGCCTTGTATCCACATTCGCGAAAGAGTGCCTTTGCTTCGCTTTCCACAAACTGCAATCATCATCCTCATTCTCTCCAGGCCACTGCGACAAACATGGCAAAAATTACCTCAGCTTTCTGGACAGTGCTCATGAATATCTAGCAGAACCAGGTGCGCCGCCATGATGAAAGTATTGGGGAAGGGGAAGCTCAAACTACCACCCCCTTTCATTACAAATGTTCTTTCATTACAAACGGTGCCTTCTCCATGACAACCAGCAGCATGACGATGGAGGTGATAGCAGTGACGCAAGTGTTTGCCTGGCTTGAAACACAAAAATTCACCCGCGTATGTATCCTCAGTGATTCAATGAGTATGATCCGGAGGGTTCAGGCAGGTTCAGTGCGAAGACAATGGCTTGAATCACTACAGAAGTCCACTGTGCGTGGAGTCACCTTTATTTTTGTTCCGGGACACGCAGGCGTCGATGGGAATAAAAGAGCTGACAGGTTGGCTCGATCCGCTATCACTACCGACGGTCAGCCTATAGATCATGCTGATATTATCAATGCCCTCAGAGAAATGGGAAGGATAAAGGACTTTGGTGGCAGTGAATCCACATCACTCGCCAGAATGGCAGACTTGGTAATTAAGATCGGCATAGCAAAAAACGAGACGCACACCAGACACGCCAGAAGACTTGTTAATCAACATAGAACTGGTTCTATTAGCCATCGGACATTGGGGTTCATACTGAGGGGAGGATCTGAGCACCTATGGACATGTCCGGAGTGCAATGATGATAACCCAACTAACTAACTAACTAACCAACTAACTAACTAACTAACTAACTAACTAACTAGCTAACTAACTAACAAATGTTCTATTTAAAGATCGAGGGGGTGTGGTGTAAGCGTCCCACCCCTCCCCCCTCCCCCCATTAAAAAAGAAAAAAAGTAAAGTTCCCTTTTCACGCCTTTCGGCGCATCGGGCATATGGGCAGAGCGTCCCATATTTTTACAGACCATCAGAACTCTGTGGGTAATGTGGTCAGCATTACGCCGGCTGTCTTTACTTTCCCAAGACAGCCCATCCTGGTACCCATTTTAGGCTGGGTCGACCTGCGACGTCCCATACCACGACAAAAATCCACGCAGCCTGCAGTGGGTTTCGATCGCGGCATGCTGGCTTACGAGTCGGACTCGCAACGCCTTAGCCAAGGACGCCGCTCCCCACCCCCCTCCCCCATTAGGAATAGGAACATGTGGGCATGGGTCCTCTGTCCTACCACAATCACGCTTTCCTCACCACATAGGTAAAAATTTGATTGGGATTCAAACTCCTTTAGCCCCCTCTCCATTTTTTCCAATAAGGTAAGAAGACATTGAGGAATCCAAAAGCCACGCTCCCACTTTCTGACACTCCATTTCTAGACAGTTTATCGGGTGGTGGTGGGGCCTCATGTCATGAAGGGCTCTCACCTCCCCCCCCCCCAAAAAAAAATTTAGTTGGTGGGGGGGGGGGGGTTGGTAACTGAGAACCCCGATCAAATAACTGTGTAAAGGGCCCGAAATAGCCATGTATATCTTCTTCGTTTTCTTCACCGGCTGTAAACTCCTGCGAGGAATTATGGTTGTTCGTCTACTTCTGGAAGTCTTGTTCCAGAACTGGACTTTTACGTGCACACCGGTATTACATATCTGGCATATTTGTAGGCAGACTGTTGATTCCTTGCCGGTCAGGCACATGCACATCGACCCCAAACAAGTTGACTCCTATGATATGCTTGTAAGGGAGGCACTGAGTCTATTCTTACCCCCCCCCCCCACACCCTCCTCCCTTTTTTTCCACACGGAATCACGAGAATCAACACGGAAAAGACATATACAGAATATAAACTATCTCTATATTAACAACTTCCTACATTCTTCTCTGATAACCACTGAACCGAACCACTAATTTTTCTAGCCTCGATTGCAATCATAAGGGTGCCCTAATCTAAGAGTGGTATACGTTTGGGCGATACTATTGAGATTTGGTCCTGCTATTTTCTTATCCTTGCCGTGCCAATCCTAAGGACAGCAATCCTGAAGGGAACAACGACCACCACGATAGCAGAACCTGCAGGTTATACATAACTTATGAAGCCGTTACTGGTGCCCCAACTAAAACCCCTTTGGATCGTCTGGAAACACGGAAAACGGAAAGGTACCAACAACGACAGTTTCGCATGTAATCAGTCGTTTTATGAAGTTTTCTAAATAAGCAAAGCGATTGACGCATCAGGCTTTGCTTTGTAATTTGCTACTCTAAAAAAATTATCACGTTCAACTAACATCCCAGAAAGGAGCGCTTTAGGTTATAATTGTGACTTGGTTATCTGCGCCACATAAAATGGCTTAAAAAGACTTTTGCAGTGTTGATGCGATCAAAGGAGACTGACCCGAATGCTGTCCCGCCCAGCGACGAAGTCATCTCCCGGCGAGCCACTGGGCGATCCGGTCTATGATGACGCATTGGGCATTTGCTGCGATACTTATTTTTTTTATAGACCAATCGTCACTAGATGGGTTGTGGGCAGCACCACACCGGCCACCATTCTTATATTTATAGTCCATGCCTAGTAGCGTTGATAGTCATGTCTACCCATAACCTTCTGTCTCGTATACTTTCAATCATTTCTGATACAGACGATCGTCCACGCCATTATGTCAAACGGTACAGCATCTTCTCTCTCGGTCTTCCTTTGCCTCTTGTCCCCTCCAACTTTCCCACTGTGACGATGTACTCCAGTTGTCTCCTTCTCATCATATGATCAAAGAATGTATACTGTTTCCTTCGGGTGCCGGAAATCTTCTCTTCGAGAGAATTTCTTTCAAGCCATCTTCGGTACTCTGTGGATCTGTCCAGTGTATTTTCATCATTCGTCTACAAAAGCATACCTCCGTTGCTTTCAAATAATGTCTCACTAGTCGTCCAACTCTCCATGATTCAGTGAACGAGCAACCAGAACTTTCCGCCAGAGTGTACAGCTGGTGAACGCGAAGAAGAAGAAGACTTCCGTACGTAAAGACTGAATTGGCCATCGTTACTCTACATGGTAACACATTCTAGAAGATATTTTCCTCAGTACATGCAGGTGTATTAGAAATGAAAAGGCAGATAGACTGGCTGGTTCTACGCAGCTTGGTGGCGAACTGATACCTGCTAAGCTAAATGTTAAAGGGGCACTTTGCTGGCGAGTGAACAGTGCGGAAGCACAGATCGATCATCATTTTCTAAAGAGAATGGCCCAGGTATCCGGTCGACGATCAGCACTCAAGGGAAAGGTAAGAGGGATATACAGTCAGACTGCTATTGGTACCACTAGAATTGAAACTTTGTGCTTGTTGCTGAAGATGTTGACAGGGTGCTTATGGGATTGTCCTGAGTGCTGTGATATCGATTCCTAATTTAACATTAAAAATTAGAACAAATAATAATAATTAAAAAAATATGCGACTCGGCGCACATTCAAACGAAACACACGCAAGGCGACAATCAAGCGTTTAGAACTGCGCAACAGAGGTTCTTCTAATTGTCATTAATTGTTATATAATCTTAAAAGAATTGAATATCAAGGAAGAGCAACCAAGAGGTTTTAAAAGAGGCGGGAGCCCGAAGACAACTTATCACTGACATCAGAAGGAGACAGTCATCATTTTTCGGCCATGTTATGAGAAGAGGGAAAATAGAACATGTTGTGACCACTGGAAAGATCTGTGGAAGGAGGGATAGAGAAAGACAACGAGAGAAGATGCTTGACAGTCTTGTTGCATGGCATGGAGGTGTGTCGGCACACGAACTGATACATGCTGCAGGAGATCGCGGATTATGGAGAGGTATGATCGCCCACGCCAGTCGGCAAGGCACCTGATGATGATGACGATCAAGGAAGATTGGCTAATAAGCAGCATCTTGTCTCGGAAACTGAAATTTTGGCCATATCAAGCTCCACGGCGTATTGTTGGTGGGGGGGGGGGGGGATAGCAGAGGGTATGGTACCAGGAAAAACGGACAGGGACCAATCAGCCCGAAAATGGGCACAGCGACACTTTGGGTAGAAAAGTACACGAGAGACAGTATTTTGTTTCAGCCAGACCGTGATAAGAGCAACGTTCTGCAAAGGACTGCTACATAAATTGACATTGTTGTTCATCCATCTTGAGTGACGAAGATCACTTTTCATCCAAAGTAGTAGCTGGATAAAAATGACTTGCGCAAGGACTTGGATTTAAGTGAGGAAGAGTTGCGCAATTCGTCGACCTCACTCTCTCGCCTGTGTCCATCTTGATCCAATGGCAGGACAATGTCGAGACGACTAGAAATGGAACTAGGTGCAGTGGATGACTCAGGCATCTTAAATGCCCTGCCTTGCTCGAAGCTCTCCACAGAGCCTGCTGGTAATCGCCTTCTTGTCCGTTTAACCAAAAAGAGGTTTCATCCGCACAATCCGCCGAGTCCAGTCTTTGCATGCAGGGTAGGCATATCCCAGTCACTGAGTGGTTTAGCCAGCCCGTCAAAGGTGGTGCCCGAGGGTTGGCCGCTGCCTCATGCTGACAAATGCTGGGAGCCACATGAAAAATGACATAGTTATAAAACCGCCAGCAGGGATCCTGGTTGGATCCTTACTACACTAGCTTTTAACATCCCACACAAAACATGAAGTTATTTTATAGCCACTATAGCTGCGAATTGAACGCACGTCATACAAAAACATGCTGTTTTTCCTTCCATCACTTTGTCCGTGACACCGCGAATGACCACACACCCACCTATATTGAGCCGAAAATTCTCCATGTGGGTTCCGGGGCCCCATTGTAGGAAAAACAAGAACAGACCCATTGCCTACCCAAAGCATGTCGTAAGAGACGACTAACTGGGAGCTTCCATCGAAGTCTGAGTGCACCTGCCTGAGAGGCAAGGAATTAACAGTTGCATGAAAATGAGTCATATCTGTAAAACGAATGCACACGCAACACTCAGGTTCTGTAACAAGACTAAAAGTCCAGAAGTGGACGAACAACAAGAATTTTTCGCTGGAGTTTACAGGCGGTGAACGCGAAGAAGAAGAAGAAGAAGAAGAAGAAGAAGAAGAAGAAGAAGAAGAAGAAGAAGAAGAAGAAGAAGAAGAAGAAGAAGAAGAAGAAGAATCGAAGATTACTTCATAACCTCTTAGTAATCCGGTGCAACTGTTGCGGCTGCAGTGTAACGGTTGTACTTGGTTTCAATGATATTTGCTTCTTTTACAAATATGGCATATTTGTATCCAGACTGTTGGTTCTTCGCCTCTCAGGCAGATGCACTCCGATTAAAAAAGAAATAGCTCTATTTAGTCGTCTTTTACGACATGCTTGTTAAAAGACAGTGGGTCTATTCTTATCCTAAAACCTCAAAAGGGGATCCCAGAACTCACACGAGAAACTTAGGCTGCGATCTGGGAGGTATTTTAAAAATTAAAAATTATGTTTTTAATTTTATTATTCTGTGCCATTTTGAAAGATTTGCGTTGGACATTTCCATCGTTCAACTGAAATGCGAATAGTTTCTTCAATTTATTGCAAAGCATATTTCGCTGTATCTCATCAGGTGCATTACTACAGAGTTACATCAACATAAAATAAAGCATAAAACTGAATAAATTCAACTGAAATGCGAATAGTTTCTTCAATTTATTGCCAGGCATATTTCGCTGTATCTCATCTGGTGCGTTACTACAGAGTTTATTAATATTCATTGATTTAAAATGTTATTCGATTGGATATTTTTGCCCCATATGCTCAGCAAATATATGGTTTTCTATCAAAATTACAGTTTTGTATGTTGTTTTGGTACAAATCACTCCATCTCGTTCGACTGCTTGATTTCGCATTTGTTGCCACGAGCCTACCTATGCTCTAGGGGTGTCAAGTGTTGCTTGTTTTAAACGTTGTAAGCACACCAACCACCAGCAAAAACCACGCTACTCACAACCCATTCGAGAAACGACTATTATTCAGAGAAAAGACATTTGCGACAAGAACGTTGCGCTGTTTTGTTGGGAAACACAGTGTATCAACCTCGTCAAACTAACGCGAGCCTGTTTTTGCCACGGTGTGTCATGACCTACAGAGAATCTTGGTGTGTGTATAGACTGAGAAGGAAGAAATCTCAAAAGAACAGCCCGTATGAATGGCCATAAAATCTTGCACCAGGACGAGTTGGGGTGACTTTCGTGATTAGTACCGTTGCTTTATTTCAGCTTTTTGTAGCTTCGGATCTCACTGTGCTAACATTAAAAAAAAAGTATAATATAAAATGCATAGCCTTTGTTACGGATTTTTTTTAGACCAACCTTCAATCACGCCTGAATAGAAACCTGAAACATGTAACTGAGACAATTACGAGGACAACGAAAGATTTAACGGAAAGACACGAGTCGCAACGACAGTAAACAAACCGACAGCAGCCCGAGTTGTGGATCAAATCTGAGTGCACATCAGTGTCATTAGAGTGCCCATCTACACAGAGTATAGAAGAACGGGTGCAAAGGTCAGGTTCAGCTTTGCTAATACTAGTGATAGCTAATTGAATCACTTGGAGACAAAGATTTGCGGTAACAGTAATGGTAGAGTTTTTGTATGTGTGACTGTCTGCGACTTGCTCTAGCAGAATATACTTCAAAATCAAACTTTATTAAGCAAAAATAAATAATATTAATAAATCTAATTATCATTATATCATAGTTATTTTGAACATAACAGTAATAATGTAATGAAATTTTAAACCTGAATCGAACAAATGGGTGGGTACTGAACTGTGTATCAATATCGCAATCAGTGTATTATTATATCAAATGTTAACTCTCTTTGTCCGAAAGAGAGTACTAAAATGTTATGTAAAATCTATACTGCTGTAAGGCAGTGAATCATAGAATGTAAATGCACAAATTAAAAAGAACTTGGAGGCGATGGAAATATGGTTTCTTAGACAAATGTTTAGAATCCATTTGACTGCTAGAGTAACTAACAAGGATTGCTTGAAGGAAGCTAATGAAAGCAGATAAATATATACAACTATTAGGAAAAGACAAACAGAAGAAGGCTGGGAGAAGGCTGCGGAGAATATGGTGACAACTTAGAAGATCAGCTGTAGAAGTGAGAGAGGCAGACAGAGAGAGAAGATGACAGATCGGTTGCAATGGTGGCACAGAGGGATATCATCGATGGAAATGATCCACAGAAAAAGCCAAAAAAGGACTGAGATCTGTGAGGATGCATGAATGCCTGCACTAGATGGCATGGCACATGAAGATGATGATCTAATATTATGGTTAGTACTGACAGGAAAGAATGTAGATAGGCGATATCTGCAGCAGTGAACCTCAAGGGCTCGGAATACCAAACAAGAAGATGATAAATAATTCAGTAGAGATATTAGATAGATTCACATACATAGCTGAGTAAATTTAATCATTAATATCACAATATGAATAAATGTAGAAGGTCCATCACAGAGATGAATGAATTCGGGTGATATCTGCAGCAGTGAACCTTGAGGGATCAGAATACTGAAAAAAGAAAATGAGGATGAAGAAGAGGAAGAATATTACAATATAGATATTAGATAGATTCACATATATAGGTTGGTTTTGTATCAATATAAATGTCAGTATCGTTAAAAGAAATCACACTGATCATATTAATAAGTTATACAGTAGTTGTACTAAGAGTTTGTGCCAAATTTTAACTCTTCCGATCTCAGGCAGGTATTATTAAAACTCATTCTATCCTAAGAAGTTATTATTCAGTCAATAAATTACTTGAGTTCTTTTGAACCTAAATATTAACAAGAGATATAAGAAGTTAAAGCAGTGGTTCTCAGCCTGTGGGTCGTGACCCTTTTGTGGGTCAAATGACTCTTTCACAGGAGTTGCCAAAGACCATCGAAAAAAAAATATTCATTGAAGTTATGAAGTAGGAACGACAACAATTTTATGGTTGGGAGGTCGCCACAACACGAGGAACTGTATTAAATGGTCGCAGAATTAGGAAGGTTAAAAGCTACTGAATTAAAGTAACATGTGGGCCAGGCTGAGTTAGTGTAAAGAATGAGGCACCATAATTGTTTTTTTTAGTTTAAAGTATATTTTGTAAACTTTACTTCTGTACCTTTACACAAATCTGAGTCTTATCATCATACACCTGATATGCCACTGACTAGAGAAGGGTCATAAACCTTACTTTTACATTTGTTTTATGTAATAAAAAAATGAAAAAAAGTAAAATATAACACCCACAGATGAGTGCCAGTTGGTCTGTAAAATATAGGTCTAGCCCTATATGCCCAATACACCTGAAGGTGTAGAAAAGGCTTCTTACTCTCCTTTGCTTTATCGCAGTCAGTGTCACTGCACAATGGGCATTCCCATACGTGCTCGTCAACTAATGCAGCAACCACTCCAAGGTGCCTCTACTGATTTTTGCCATGAGAAGCTGGTTATAGTGTCTCCTGTCTTAGCCTTAAAGACAGCATAGGTGGGCTTCACCAAACTTTACTCCCAGGCCATGCAATCATGTTACTATCAGAGATTCATCATTATCATCCAGATTAGTCCATACACCATTATTAGTATCAGCTGTGTCCATGCTTCTTCCTCTATTCACTGGTTGCATTACTTGCCTGTTGGTTGACTCGTTCATTACTCTTTTAAAAATAATTTTTTAGCCTTTACTTACTACTAATTCTGACCATCTGATGTATGGTATATCAACTGCCACAGAGAGCTTAGCTGAAGAAAGATAATAAATATAGAGCAAGGGAATGACCAAACAGAAGATGGAGTGATGGCATCAAGAACAGCCAAAAAGACATGAAGACAATCTTACACAATACATAATAAAAAATACACAGACCTATCATACAGTCTCACTAGTTTACAGCCCGTGAACCATTAGAAGAAGATGAAGAGGGGTAGAGAGAAAGAAAATATATACTACTGTGAGACGTGATGAGCAAGTTTGTCGTCCATCATAGGATTGACAGATTTCTTCTTCTTCTGTTTCACCTTATTGTTGTGTTATGTTTGATGATAATAATATGCAGTGAATTAAATAATTTTTATCATCAGGCTGAATATTTATATGTGGCCATTATGTTGCTGTTTCACCTATGTTGTTCTGTTTCTACTCAGATGGAGGCCAGGCATCTAGAAAGAATTTCAACACTCGGGAGATTCTATATTTATGCCATCCATGGCTACGTCACAGAAGTAATGTTTACAGCATTATGGGAGTTTGTTGTTAATCTTAACTGGAAGTTTCCGGGCAACACTAGTGTATGGTAAGCATTACACAGAGATGAGTCATGAGTTAATCCATCACTCAAGAGTCCTGAGTTAATCAGTCACTTGCTGTGTGGGTTCTTGGACCATACTGGGGGGGGGGGGGGGGGGGGGGGGGGTAAACTCAGTGCCCATTATTACTGTTGTAGAAGACAACTATAGTCTGTTCTAAAAGTCGTGCCCAACTTTAAAAATCTGTAACCCAATAACCGTTTTGTGTAAGTTCTTGAAATTTGGCATGCAACCTGTTAATAATCATGTCCTTGTAAGACAAAAAATTCCAATGTAAACAAACGTCTAATTTTCCTTTGTCAATATTTGCTGGATACAATAAAACAAATACTGATTCAAAGTATACAATTAGCAAGCTTACATAAATTGAGAAATCCAAAGTTTCCAAAATATCAAATTGCACGAGTTTTAGAGGTAGTCCATGTGAAAAAGAGCACTGTGAGTTAGATGAACACAAACAAGTTCTCAATGTATTTGGGGTAGGCAGTCAAAATAATCACTGCACATGTGAATTAACCTCCAAAACAGTTTCCTCCAAAACGGTTGTGGTTTAAGTAAATAATTTTGTGTCAGTTAAATGTATTTTCTTTTAGGGGTGCACAAGGTATTGGTCAAACAAAGATAAAAGAAATCTTCTGTTATAAGAAACCAGCACCTCTTTTGCAATTGTAAATGATTAAATCATAAGGATGTGGACAATCTAAGACCGCGGGTAGTAAAAATGTGTGTTGATCCATACAAGAGTTTTCTAGGTACACAACTTTTGAAACACACTATAATTATGATTTTTCTGAAATCGAACTTGTGGAATCAAAAGGCACATATATCACAGCCTAGCTGTAAAGAAAACCACTTTAAAGGTAAATGCAGAAGAAGAATGTCTAATCAGTTCTGCTCACCTCTGTTGATCAGATACAGTGGAAGATGTTTGTTTGGTTGAGGCCTGTCCATTGAGCCAAATTCTGTAGCGAGATCTTTCTTGGTATGCCTTTTCTCCTTTACAAAGCCCTTTAGTAGCATTTCGGAGAGGCCATTAGATCTTGCTACATGTCCGTACCATTGTATTTGTCTTCTTTTCACAGTTAGAAGAGGTTTATAGTTGTCAAGTTTAAGGCCTTCGTATATTCTAGGCAAAGATTGCGGTTGGGGAGGAAAGGGGGGGGGGGCACTTCCCTTTCCTGTCACAGGTCCTGTTCAGACAATTCAAAGTGAATTTTTAAGTGTAAAATAAATCGTATCCTGATATATGAAAGGAAATTATGGACTGTTGGCCAGTTAGCCAAACATTATGTGGAAGCAGTAGATGTGTGGTTTATAGGTGAATGATAACACCCTAGACAGATAATAAGAGTCATGACGATGTGTTTAAAGAAACTGACTCATTAAGAGAACTGATTGCCCACATCAGAAGAGAAAACTGGAGTACACTATGACAGGAGGGAAGTTGAGGGGAAAAGGGACGGAGAAAGAGACCCAGAGAGCAGATGCGGAACAATTTGAAACCATGGCGTAGAAAATGATATGTATCAGAATTGATTGAAAGGTACATGAGACATAAGGTTAGGGATAAAATGACTACCATCGCTACACTGCATGGACTATAAGAAGAAGAAGAAGGCCTCCCTTAAAGCTGTACAGGCTAGAAAAATAATCTTGCTTCTAAGTGAAAGGCCCTTTTCAATGCTTTCAGGTATATTGGGCATATAGGGCTAGCCTGTATTTGATAGACCTATTGGCACTCTGTGGGTGATGTGGTCAACATCAAAGATCTTGCTTCTGCTGGGGATTAAACTTGCACCACTATTTCGGCAGGAAAGTGCACTAGCCACACATCATGCAAAGAATACAGTTTGGATGCATCTGTATAAAGGAACTTAGGATCATTTTTGGGGTCTTTTGTATCCATGGATAATTATATGTTTGATTTGTAAAGGAATCTGACACAATTATAGATGTTTGCTGCATGCATCCCTGGATAAGTCTGTGTTTGAGTTATAAAGGAACATGGGATGATTATAAGAGTTTGTTGTATGCATCTACGGATAGGTCTGTGTTTGATCTGTAAAGAAATGGATCATTAAAGGAGATTTTTTCATCCGTCTGTGGATACATTAATCATCAGAAAAAAACAATAAAATTATAATAAATTTGGTGATTAGCTAGAGGCTTACTTTGATCTTTTTGTAGCTTCAGAGGTTAAACTGAAAGTAATGACAGCAGAAGGAAGGCAAGAGTGGATCCACACTAAATACAGAAGCCTCACAAAGAGGCAGAGGCAGCTAAGGTGTAAAAAATGCGAAGACGAAGCCAAACGCCAAAAAAAAAAAAAAAAACAGCTCATGGAAGAAACAGAAGACAGGCTCATAGCCCAACAAGTACAGCTCAGAGAGGCAAGCAGAAGAAGCCTAAATGGAGCCCTAATATGAAAAGGTCATTTTGATGACTCTCAGACCTCCTCCTTACAGCAGTAGAAACTGGAACATGTAGTCACTACAAACAAATCTGTGGAAAGAGAGATAGAGGAAGATAACATGAGAAGATTCTTGACAGCCTTTTCTCATGGAATGGAGGGGTGTCAGCTCATTAAATGATACACGCTGTTGTAGATCCCAGGTTTCGGAGATGTATATTCACCTATGCATGTCAGCAAGGCACTTAATAATGATGATGAAAATTTAATATACTATTTTAGGGATAGTTTATAATTTTTTTTTTTAAAATTTGCCCGGCAGTTTTACATGTAGTGTGTGTGGTCATTTTTTTTCTTCAAAAGACCAGGGATTTTCATGTGCACACAATCTGTGCAAGTCATTATTGTTTTACAACTTTATATCTGGTAGTCTGGTAGTCTTAGTTTCAGCTTCATAGCAAACGGGTCACCCCATCTTTGCTCCGCTCCTGTGCCAACGAAAAACACACATAATGTTTATCACAGTATTAGAATTGCAGTTCATCATTGATGGTAGCAGAAGTCGCCAACAGATCAGTAGTTGCCCACGCGATAAATTTTAATCACATACGGGCACCACAACACTGCATGACAGGCATCACGCCATTTTCTGAATCTACAATTCACACCAACACACTGGTCACAGTCGAAAAAACATTCCAAATGCAATCCGCAGCTCACAGGGTCACGCCATGCATTCAACTCAGAAGCTGGGCGACGAAACTATATCCAGTCTACAAATGGAAACAAAAATGCATCGGCCACCGTCCGGCAGAAGCAAAAAAATTTGCCTCTGTTTCGAACAGTGCCGCTGCCTAACGTTTATTTTGACCTGAAGCAACTTTATATAAGAAGTCTAGGTATTCTTTTCCTTTCACCCTTAACACAGAGGTTGGCAGATTATTTTATGGTTTGCTGTTAGGTTGTGATAACTGTGGATTATTTTATGGTTTGCTGTTAGGTTGTGATAACTGTGGATTATTTTATGGTTTGCTGTTAGGTTGTGATAACTGTGGATTATTTTATGGTTTGCTGTTAGGTTGTGATAACTGTGGATTATTTTATGGTTTGCTGTTAGGTTGTAATAACTGGATTATTTTATTGTTTGCTGTTAGGTTGTGATAACTGTGGATTATTTTATGGTTTGCTGTTAGGTTGTGATAACTGGATTATTTTATGGTTTGCTGTTAGGTTGTGATAACTGGATTATTTTATGGTTTGCTGTTAGGTTGTGATAACTGGATTATTTTATGGTTTACTGTTAGGTTGTGATAACTGGATTATTTTATGGTTTGCTGTTAGGTTGTGATAACTGTGGATTATTTTATGGTTTGCTGTTAGGTTGTGATAACTGTGGATTATTTTATGGTTTGCTGTTAGGTTGTGATAACTGTGAATTATTTTATGGTTTGCTGTTAGGTTGTGATAACTGTGGATTATTTTATGGTTTGCTGTTAGGTTGTGATAACTGTGGATTATTTTATGGTTTGCTGTTAGGTTGTGATAACTGTGGATTATTTTATGGTTTGCTGTTAGGTTGTGATAACTGTGGATTATTTTATGGTTTGCTGTTAGGTTGTGATAACTGTGGATGATTTTATGGTTTGCTGTTAGGTTGTGATAACTGTGGATTAATTTACGGTTTGCTGTTAGGTTGTGATAACTGTGGATTATTTTATGGTTTGCTGTTAGATTATGATAACTGGACTATTTTATGGTTTGCTGTTCTTCTTCTTCTGCCTTTCTATCCCCCAATGGAGCATACGCCCTCAACCAACTCACGCCAAATCGTTCTATCCTTCACCATTACATGGAACTCTCCCCATGTCCTCCCCATCTTTCTAACTTCATTCTCCAGCTCTTTTCTCCATGCGTTTTTTGGCCTTGATTTATTCCTATGCCCCTGTGGGTTCCAATGCAAAGACATTCTAGTTATGCTGTTCTCCTGTTTTCTCAATGTGTGTGTCCTATTGAACACCAGCGTCTTTTCTTCACCTCTTGGTCCATTGGAGCCTGTTTAGTTCTCTCCCAAAGCTCTACATTAGTTATTCTATCATACCATTTAATTCCCTCTGTTCTGCGCAGGCACCAGTTAATGAATGACTGTAATTTATTAGTAATTGCCTTAGTTGTTTTCCACGTTTCTGCCCTAAACAAAAGTGTTTGCTGTTAGGTTGTGATAACTGTGGATTATTTTATGGTTTGCTGTTAGGGTGTGATAACTGAGGATTATTTTATGGTTTGCTGTTAGGATGTGATAACTGTGGATTATTTTATGGTTTGCCGTTAGGTTGTGATAACTGTAGATTTTTTTGATGGTTTGCTGTCAGGTTGCGATGACTGTGCCATTTGGCACAACACATCTGGTTTTTTTCTAATCCCTAATTAATCACCAGTTACAACATGCTCGTTAAGGAGCTGTGATCTGTTCTTAACCTCCACACCCATCCCCCCCCTCCACACACACACACACACACGCAGTTAGGGCAACGGAACCAAGTGGGGAGTCCATGTGTTCAATCTAATACTCAGGATCAGGGATGTACAAGCCCACACTCACTAAACTATGTACAGCAACAGATTACATGGTTCAGCCATGTTGTAGACAGTGGAGCAGAAAAGTACAAATAAACACGTTGAATCTTATCCAGGTCTGTCTGCCCCTAGAGAATCACAGTTATCTAATATTGCACTTTATCAAGCATTGAAGGCAAGATGTTCAGTCATTTCAAAACACACCCACCTATCATTTGCTATCTGGCTTAGTTAATTATTTGTCTTTCCTTATTACTCAATTACACTGTGTCTTTAAGTGTCATTTTGTCTATAAACAACATTGATGTAGCACTATATTCCTACTGCACCTAAAGCTGTGGTTCTCAAGCTTCCTTATGCCGCGACCCTTTAATACATTTCCTTATATTGTGGCGACCCCCCAGTCATTCAGGGTTTTCATTGCTACTTTATAACTTCAGTGAATATGTGTTTTCTGGTAGTCGTTAGTGACCCATGTGAAAGGCTCGTTCGGCCCACAAAAGGGTCGTGACCCATAGGATGAGAACCGTTGACCTAAAGCATGAACAAATATCCTTTACTTTTTTATTGACTTTACAATGAATATTACAGTAAACATTACATTGGTTTTACTGTCTCACCTATATTACTAATTCTACAGGTCATTCCCTATATATGGCATTTCTGGCATCATATGTGAACATTTGTTTGTGTACATGAGCTCACGAAGTGTCCCTTTCCTTGTACGTGGACTGGTCTACACTCTCTGGACATACTCCTGGGAGTTCAGCACAGGATTCGTGTTGAAGCACTTTGGAGCCTGTCCGTGGGACTACACTCCGTTTCATGGAGACTTCATGGGGCTGGTCACTTTAGAGTACGCGCCATTGTGGTTCCTGGGTGCCATAGTGCATGAGCAGCTGATAATGTACTACTGCAGACGAATATTCTTTGGCCCTTCCAGAGAAGAAGAGGCAGATCAAAGCTTCAGGGATAGAAAAACTGTTACAAATGGGTGTGCAGAGGATAAGAAAAAAAGTATATGAAACATAATTGCTTGCATGTGAAAAGAACATAACTTTATAAAAGAGGTTTTTTCTTTCTAGACAAACAAGATAATATAACAATTTAGTAGGTAATTAAAAGTTTTTACTCTTAATAATTTATATCCATAACCATTTTGTCTTAAATAATATAGTTAGTTGCGTATCCTTTACAGGTCATTGCAGAACCAACCCCAGTATTTTTTGGCTGTTGTAGTTTTTCTAGGCAAATTTTATGTTCAGTAGTTTGCCATTGCTTTCTAAACAGTCAGCTCTCAGTACCACTGTCGAAACCAACGCAAGACAAATCATCAGCAGCTGGGATCGACCCGGCATTACGAAGTGCGTTCAAAACGCCCAAGTCACATCATATTTTAAAAAGCACCAGCTTACTCTAAAACAAAAATAGATACAGGTTTTAGTCTAATAATGTGTTTTTTTTTTAACACATCGCAAAGTATTCCAAATAAATAAACAAATATGTTTATAGCTATCCATATAGTAGAGGATCTTTCTTCACACCTTCAGGCCTATTGAGCATAAGGGCTAGACCTGTATTTTATAGACCAGGCGGCACTCAGTGGATGATGTGGTCAACATCACGCCCGCTGCCTTGACTTTCCAGGGCTGCCTGGTACCCATTTAAGGCAGGGTTGATCTGGGAGTCAAGGTCATTTTTGAACAAGTCTAAACAAGTCAAGATATCCATATGCTAGACTTTAGCTGGATTATGTTGTATCAAATAATCTCAGGCTTTACTATCACTACAGGAGCTGATAGGTTTTGTTTGACATTGCAAGATGTGTTGAAGCATAACTGACCGAACCATTCAACTTGATGATGGTAATATAATAAAGAATTCACATTCACACAGTGTTGGGGTATTAAATTTATAGTTGACATAAATAGAGTAGAAGTTTAACATGAAAAATCTCTCAGTAATTTTTTTGAATTTGCGCTTTCAGAGTGATTGTGATTATATTATGCTGTTATTGAAGTGATTATGATTAACTACTGAAATGTCTTTTTTCCTTGAGTATTCATGTTGATGTGGTTGATACATCATTGTGTTTGTACAGATAAGAGGAAGCAACATTGTTTTGCGTATTGTTATACAAGCTACAGAAGGCAGTATGAATAGTACTGTATTACCCACATTGCTGAATTTAGTGCTGGTCAACCAGCACGAAGATGAGTATAGGAAATAAGAGATGCCTTGTGTTGGAAAGTGCACATGGCAGGAGAGGTGGCGAGAGACCAAGTTTTCTTTCAGGCAGGCTGTGATGAGAGCAACTTTCTGCCAAGGACCTGTTACATAAATGTTAATTTTAATAAATGTTTTATTCAGTTTATTAAAGGGCAACAGATGAATTTGAAAAGCATGCAGAAGATCCTTACATTTCCCCCAACGCTTTGCTGAGGTAATCGTTCGTATTAAAGGCAATGTTTAGAGTTTTAAACTGAAGTGGCTAATGGAGAAAGCAACGGCTATGTTTTATGACCATATGCACATTTTAATGTTCCAGACATTGGAGAATATCTTGTGACCAACTAAAACAGTGCATTAGAAAGAGCATACACCAAATCTCTGCCTTTGTCTCCAAAGCTTTGCTAAGGTAACTGCGTGAAGTGAAGATAAAAAAGAAGTGAAAGTGGGAGGTGGCAAAAATGTTTGCATTGAGAATGAGGTTTAGAGTTCAGTAGTATAATGGTCAAAGGAGAAGCCAGAAGCCACATATTATGACTTTTTGTAGCTTTTTTTTGTACCATGATCTAAGATAAATCTTATGTTGTTTGAATTGAGGAATACAGTGGTTAAAAGAGCAGCCAGTAGCTACATAATATGACTTTATAAGGATTTATTTACCATGACCAAAGAGAAATCTGATGTTTTCATAATTGCCATTTCAAACAAAAATTGCATTGACTGAAGACCATGTATCTTGAGAGCATCTCTTCAGAACACTGTGAACTTCTTTCATTCAAGAAGGTTTTACAACAGAAAATAACCAGAGCATCTCAATAGAACATTATTAACTTCTTCCATCCCAGAAGGTTTCACAGCAGAAAATAATCAAAGCATCTTTTCAGAATATCATGAACTTCTTTCATTCAAGGAGGTTTCACAACAGAAAGTAACCAGAGCATCTCTTCAGAACATCATCAACTTCTTCCATCCCAGAAGGTGAACATGGTTGGAATTGATAACTGGAGAAGCCAGATGTTTTAGTATTATGTGGCCAAACCTAAAATAGTAAGACAGTGTATGTTGTGATATTAGGTATCAGAGGAAATAATGAATGACATAACACACATGACTTTGAACTGAAAAAAAAAAAATATGGATATGTCATAGAAGACAGGTGGCACAAACATAGCGCTGAAAATCCCAAATAATGCAAACGCCAGTACTCAACATTTTCCTGCTTTTACCCATCTGAAAAGACATGATGAGCCAAACATTGTATTTTTTAACTGCTGGATTCATTTTGAAATACTTGTGAAACTATATGTCAAAAGGTTTATTATATGTGCCTACCAAAGAAATATTTTTTACTCTTAGTATTCACGGTATTTAGAATTCTTACACATGGTGTAATGTTAACATTTTATTTAGAAAGAAATTATGTTAAAGTACAGTATGACTAGAATTTTATTTTATTTTGTAAATACTTTGATTATTTTTGTTTACAGATCTGTTTTTAATTGAACTTTTTTGTGGATTTTGTGTTTACTTGGTGTTGTATTTGTCAATTTTTTTATCAATGATGATATTCACCTATTAATTAATGAGATGTGTTTTTGTTTACATTTTTGTTAGCATGTTTGTAGATTTTGTAGTGCAGTGATGTTCAGCACAAATTTATAAACAAATAAACAGATATGCTATTTAATGAAAGTTAAATGTATTCGAAAACTGATGCATATGGAAATTGATGATCACTAAATAGGATGAATTCAAGAAAGACGATTCTCTGTGTGGATTCTAGAGGCACACTGTGGGGAAAACAAGAACAGACCTACTGCCTCCCTAACAAGGATATTGTAATAGTCGACTAATTAGGGAATTCCTTCCGTGTCGTAGTGCTTCTGCCTGAGAGGCAACGAACCAGCAGTCTGCATACAAATAAGTCCAATCTGTGGAATGGATGTGCATGCAACATTCAAGTTTTGGAACAATGCTAAGGTCCAGAAGTGAATGAATAACCATAATTTTTTGCTAGAGTTTACAGCTGGTGAACATGAACAAGAAGAAGAAGAAGAGAAGAAGAAGAAGAAGAAGAAGAAGAGAAGAAGAAGAAGAAGAAGAAGAAGAAGAAGAAGAAGAAGAAGAAAAGAAGAGAAAAGAAGAAGTTTTGGAACAGATGCTAAGGTCCAGAAGTGATGAACAAGGAAGAAGAAGAAGAAGAAGAAGAAGAAGAAGTTTAGAAGAAGAAGAAGAAGAAGAAGAGGAGAAGAAGAGGAGAAGAACAAGAGAAAGAAAAGAAGCAGAAGAAGAAGAAGAAGAAGAAGAAGAAGAAGAAGAAGAAGAAGAAGAAGAAGAAGAAGAAGAAGAAGAAGAAGAAGAAAGAAGAGAACGAGAAGGAGAAAGAGGAAGAAGAAAGAAGAAAGAAGAAGAAAGAAGAAGAAGAAGAAGAAAGAAGAAGAAGAAGAAGAAGAAGGAGAAGAAGGAGAAGAAGAAGAAGAAGAAGAGAAGGAGAAGAAGAAAGGCGATAAAATGGGAGAAATGTTTGTACGGCCACTGGTATCAACAGTTATAAGATCAAGAAGATAGTGATATATTGGGTACGTCCTGAGTAGAAGCAAACAGAAAATCAACAGACAGGCACTGAAATAGAAACCAAATGCACTCAGGAAGTAAGGATGTCCACAAGAAATCCTACAATTAACGTTGATGACAAAGGTGTTGGATTGTGAAACAGTTGCACAGCATAGAACGGAATGGAGGAATGGACTGCCAGCTGTATGTAATGTTTATTGGCACAAAAGGATGTTATTTGATGGTTGTTTTGTCTTACTTTATTTAGATATGGTATACAATTATATATGCTCTGGCAAGGAATTGTTCCAGTCTGTAAGAGCTCAGGGTTTGTGTTCTGATCTCCAGGAGGCCTGACCCAGTCAAGAAATGACTGCAGAAGTTGGATGCGTCTTCAAAAGGGACAAATATCGCAGCCATGCTGTAAACAGGCACCATGCAGTTACATCTTTGGATGAACACAGAAGAAAAAGTTTGAGGTTTAGAACAACCGATCAACATTTTGGCACGCGGGTGTAACCCATAAGTGCTCCGTTCTTCTTCTAACTCAAGTCTGAGTGTAAAAAAGTACAGCACACTGCACAGGCTCTATAGCATGGGCACACAAAAGAAGAATATTTTAGGATTTGTAAAAATAATTTATCAAACAATTGCTACCGGTGATCAAAATGTTAATTTATACATACAGCAGATCTGGCTTATTTAGTTGTTAGCTCTTCAGGTATGAGGTTTCACATGAGATACCAAAGGGCATGAGTAACCACTATGAAGAATCATGAGTGTATTACTTTCAAAGAAGCTAATCACCATTGCATATGACTGAATATGTTAAACAGGTATATAAATAATGCAGACTAAAGTAATATTGCTAAATACAGTGGCACCTCCGAATTTGAAAATAATCTGTTCCGTGACAGTGTTCAGATTCCACATCAAGCAGTTTTTTTCATTGTACAGGAATTGAAACTTGTGATTCATATTGCAATCTTCACCACTTGTATAGGGGGTTTGGGTCATTAGTTTTTGTTGAAAGCCAGCGTTCCAAAGTGCTTTGGGTTTGGCAAGCATTTTTACTTTTTTTTTAAATAATGTAATTTTTGAATAAGTTAACTCATCTGTTAGCTAGGGCTCTATAAGAATGCCAGTTAATAACTTCTTCCAATTTCTGACCACATGGTCAAAAAATCTTGGAATTCAGCAGTTGCTAATCTTTCTAGCATTCCCTCTCTTCCTTCTGAGAAGA